ATTCTATGAACTGAACCATAATAGGGACACAACCTATTAAAACCTCTGGGATACCACAGCCGAATTCTACCAGAGGTACAAGGAAGAGCTGGTACCATTCCTTCTGAAACCATTCCAATCAATAGAAAAAGACGGAATCCTCCCTAACTCATTTTATGAGGCCAACATCATCCTGATACCAAAGCCTGGCAGGAACACAACAAAAAAAGAGAATTTTAGAACAATATCCCTGATGAACATCAATGCAAAAATCCTCAATAAAATACTGGCAAACCGAATCCAGCAGCACATCAAAAAGCTTATCCACCATGATTAAGTGGGCTTCATCCCTGGGATGCAAGGCTGGCTCAACATACACAAATCAGTAAACGTAATCCAGCAATATAAACAGAACCAAATACAAAAACCACAAGATTATCTCAATAGATGCAGAAAAGGCCTTTGACAAAATTCAACAGCCCTTCATGCTAAAAACCCTCAATAGATTCGGTATTGATGGAACATGTCTCAAAATAATAAGAGCAATTTATGAAAAACCCACAGCCAATATCATACTGAATGGGCAAAAACTGGAAGCATTGCCTTAGAAAACTGGCACAAGACAGGGATGCCCTTTCTCACCACTCCTAATCAACATAGTGGTGGAAGTTCTGGCTAGGGCAATCAGGCAAGAGAAAGAAATCAAGGGTATTCAATTAGGAAAAGAAGAAGTCAAATTGTCCCTCTTTGCAGATGACATGATTGTATATTTAGAAAACTCCATCATCTCAGCCCAAAATCTCCTTAAGCTGATAAGCAACTTCAGCAAAGTCTCAGGATACAAAATCAATGTGCAAAAATAACAAACATTCTTATACACCAATAACAGACAAACAGAGAGCCAAATCATGAGTGAACTCCCATCCACAACTGCTTCAAAGAGAATAAAATACCTAGGAATCCAACTTACAAGGGATGTGAAGGACCTCTTCAAGGAGAACTACAAACCACTGCTCAGTGAAATAAAAGAGGACACAAACAAATGGAAGAACATAACATGCTCATGGACAGGAAGAATCAATATCATGAAAATGGCCATACTGCCCAAGGTAATTTATAGATTCAATGCCATCCCCATTAAGCTACCAAAGACTTTCTTCACAGAATTGGAAAAAACTGCTTTAAAGTTCATATGGAACCAAAAAAGAGCCTGCATTGCCAAGACAATCCTAAGCCAAAAGAACAAAGCTGGAGGCATCACGCTACCTGACTTCAAACTATACTACAAGGCTACAGTAACCAAAACAGCATGGTACTGGTACCAAAACAGAGATGTAGACCAATGGAACAGAACAGGGTCCTCAGAAATAATACCACACATCTACAGCCATCTGATCTTTGACAAATCTGATCTTTGACAAACAAGTAATGGGGAAAGGATTCCCTATTTAATAAATGGTGCTGGGAAAATTGGCTAGCCATAAGTAAAAAATTGAAACTGAATCCTTTCCTTACTCCTTATATGAAAATTAATTCAAGATGGATTAGAGACTTAAATGTTAGACCTAAAACCATAAAAACCCTAGAAGAAAACCTAGGTAATACCATTCAGGACATAGGCATGGGCAAGGACTTCATGTCTAAAACACTAAAAGCAATGGCAAGAAAAGCCAAAATTGACAAATGGGATCTAATTAAACTAAAGAGCATCTGCACAACAAAAGAAACTACCATCAGAGTGAACAGGCAACCTACAAAATGGGAGAAAATTTTTGCAATCTACTCATCTGACAAAGGGCTAATATCCAGAATCTACAAAGAACTCAAACAAATTTACAAGAAAAAAACAAACAACTCCATCAAAAAGTGGGCAAAGGATATGAATAGACACTTCTCAAAAGAAGACATTCATACTGCCAACAGACACATGAAAAAATGCTCATCATCACTCGCCATCAGAGAAAGGCAAATCAAAACCACAATGAGATACCATCTCACACCAGTTAGAATGGCAATCATTAAAAAGTCAGGAAACAACAGGTGCTGGAGAGGATATGGAGAAATAGGAACACTTTTACACTGTTGGTGGGATTGTAAACTAGTTCAACCACTATGGAAAACAGTGTAGTGATCCCTCAAGGGTCTAGAACTAGAAATACCATTTGACCCAGCCATCCCATTACTGGGTATATACCCAAAGGATTATAAATCATGCTGCTATAAAGACACATGCACACGTATGTTTATTGTGGCACTATTCACAATAGCAAAGACTTGGAATCAACCCAAATGTCCATCAGTGACAGACTGGATTAAGAAAATGTGGCACATATACACCATGGAATACTATGCAGCCATAAAAAAGGATGAGTTTGTGTCCTTTGTAGGGACATGGATGCAGCTGGAAACCATCATTCTCAGCAAACTATCACAAGAACAGAAAACCAAACACCACATGTTCTCACTCGTATGTGGGAATTGAACAATTGCATCACTTGGACACAGGAAGGGGAACATCACACATTGGGGCCTATTGTGGTGGGGGGATAGCATTAGGAGATATACCTAATATAAATGACAAGTTAACGGGTGCAGCACACCAACATGGCACATGTATACATATGTAACAAACCTGCACGTTGTGCACATGTACCCTAGAACTTAAAGTATAATAATAATAATAAGAAGAAGAAGAATAAAACCTCTGGGATACAGCAAAAGTGGTGCTAATGGGAAAGTTTATAGCATTAAATGCACATATCAAAATGTCTGAAAGAGCACAAATAGACAATCTAAGGTACACCTCAAGGAACTAGAGAAGCAAGACCAAACTAAACCCAAACCTAGCAGAAGAAAAGAAATAACAAAGATCAGAGCAGAATTAAATGATACTGAAACAAACAAACAAACAAAGATAAGTGAAACAGAAATCTGGTTCTTTGAAAATATAGACAAAATTGATAGACCATTGATGAGGTTAACCAATAAAATAACAGAGAAGGTCCAAATAAGCTCAATTAGAAATGAAACAGGAGATATTACAACCAACACCACAGAGATACAAAAGATCATTCAAGGCTACTGTGAACACCTTTACATACACAAACCAGAAAACCTAGAGGATATGCATAAATTCCTGGAAATATACAAATCTCGTAAATTAAACCAAAAAGAAAGAGAAACTCTGAATAGACCAATAAAAAACAGTGAGATTGAAATAAAAATTTTAAAAATTGCCAACAAAAAAAGTAGAGGACTAGATGGATTCACAGCTGAATTCTACCAGACATTCAAAGAATTGGTACCAATCCTACTGAAACGATTCTCTGTATTCCCAGCAGAGGGTGCATCTTCTTCCCACATGGAAGCCTCCTGTCCGTGTGCATTCTTGGATTCCAGAGCAAAGGTGGCCTCAGATAGGCAAAAAGGAACTCCTGAATTTGTTCCTAAATGACTTTCACTCTCCTCTATATTGTTCCCTATTTGATTAGCTTCTCATTCTCTATCTGGAGTTTGGTATTTTTCTCAACCCACAATTTTGACTGCCAACTTGGATTCTACTTGAGAATCACTCTGTTGCTTTACTCCTTCTAACATGTATAATCGACACAGAATTGTGCTGGTTCGAAAGGGCTGGTCAAAGACTGGATCAGGAGTCAGCCCCACTGGGCTCAAATTCATACTATATAAGTCCCAGGACAAATAATTCATTCCTTTTGTGCTCCAATGCATTATTGGCCTGGGAATCATACGCATTCTTACCTCGTAGGCTCTTCAGATAACTAAAAGAGGCAATACCTAATAAACTCTCAATCAGCTGCTGTTATTCTCCCAAATTAGACCCAGCCCTCATTCTCCAGTTGAAGTCTGCCTGAATCTCTCTTTATACTCCAAGCCCTATACTAGCCCTATTTCCCTGATGGACTCTGCTAATACAAATATTTTCATCAACAGAGAAATGAACCACAGATCTCCTGAAAGAGAGAAAGAAATGGGATTACATTGTGTATACGGAGCAGAACACTTACTAGTCCCCCATAGATATTCCTTCAGTTGCACTCAGACCTCACTCACACTTACTCTTTCCTCTATTCTATTGCTGAACAGTTCAGCTCAGAACCACACCCTACCCAAACATTGTGTACAAAAATGCTTCTAGGTGTTCAGCAAAGCTACACTGAGACCTCATTTCAAAGGTACATCAGTGGTCATTTTCTGGTTTTGGGCACACATCAATCATTCTTCTCAACACAGATAGAGCTGTCCACAAATACATTTCTGATTAATGAAATTCTCTTCATATAATTACAAATGTGTGTTCTAATGCCTTACATTGTGCTTTCATTTTTATTTTCCATTTCACCAAAATCTACCATTACCATTAGGCTCCTCATGCATGCATTCATTCATTGAATGAATGTTTATGAAGAGCACAGTGTGCTGCTCATGGAAATAGGCACCAGGAGTATAAAACGTAAAATGTGGTCCTGTCTGCAATGACTGACACGCTGAGTTATTTCTCACCCACCAGGCCCAGCCATTTTCACGCTTATCCTAGCGAAGGTCACATTTTCCTCCAGTTCATAATTCATGGTCTTCTTTCCTGTCCATGGATGACCAGTCCTAGTCATGAGGGTGTCACAACCACCTCTTTCTGTATCTGAATTCCTCCACCTGAGAGAAAATGTCAGGCCCAGGATAGAGTAATGATCGGGTCCACAGCCCTGGCCACTTGAGTGGGGCTGTTTTGATCCTAATGTTATTCCCACGTCAGTACGGAACTTGTGTGGCAATAAGGAGAAGTCAGGCTTCAGAGTCAGCAAGAACTGGATTTCAAACTGGATTTTAGGACTCCCACCTTTTGATAGGTGACTTATTCTCTGTGAGCCTCTGTTTCTCTCCTCTTTAAAATGAGAACAGTAAATCCCACATGGCAGGGTGGTGGGGAGAATCAGAGATCATACAGCTGGTGATCACATCTGGTTTGTGTTCCCAGGGACACCAGATTAGGGTTTCTGAGCATGGATCCAACCATCCCAGCCTTGGATACAGAACTGACACCAATCAACGGAACTGAGGAGACTCCTTGCTATAAGCGGACCCTGAGCCTCACAGTACTGACGTGCATCATTTCCCTTGTCGGGCTGACAGGAAACGCGGTTGTGCTCTGGCTCCTGGGCTTCCGCATGAGCAGGAACGCCTTCTCCATCTACATCCTCAACCTGTCCATGGCCGTCTTCCTCTTCCTCAGCGGCAACGTTATATGTTCCGCCTCACTCATCAATATCTGTCATCCCATCTCCAAAATCCTCATTCCTGTGACGACCTTTCTCTACTTTACAGGCCTGAGCATGCTGAGCACCATGAGCACCAAGCGCTGCCTGTCAGTCCTGTGGCCCATCTGGTACCGCTGCTGCCACCCCACACACCTGTCAGTGGTCGTGTGTTTCCTGCTATGGGTCCTGTCCCTGCTGTGGAGCATCCTGCAGTGGAGGTTCTGTGACTTCCTGCTTAGTGATCCTGGTTCTCTTTGGTGCCAAACATCAGATTTCATCACAGTCCTGTGGCTGATTTTTTTATGTGTGGTTCTCTGTAAGTCCAGCCTGGTCCTGCTGGTCAGGATTCTCTGTGGATCCCGGAAGATACATGACCATCCTGCTCAAAGTGCTGGTCTTCCTACTCTATGGCCTGCCCTTCAGCATTCAGTGGGCCCTGTCTACTGGGATTCACCTGGATTTGGAAGGCATTTTCTGTCATGTCCATCTAGTTTCCATTTTCCTGTCCTCTCTAAACAGTAGTGCCAACCCCATCATTTACGTCTTCGTGGGCTCCTTTAGGCAGCGTCAAAATAGGCAGAACCTGAAGCTGTTTCACCAGAGGGCTCTGCAGGACACGCCCGAGGTAGATGAAGGTGGACGGCGGCTTCCTCAGGAAACCCTGGAGCTGTCGGGAAGCCGATTGGAGCAGTGAGGAAGAGTCTCTGCCCTGTCAGTCAGGCAGGACTTTGAGAGCAACACTGCCCTGCCACCCTTGACAATTACATGTGTTTTCTTAGTGTTGTGCCTCAGCAACGTCTCAGTGGTAACTGAAGATCGTCGAATAGATGTTTATCTAATCTGACAGTTCCAGTTTTCACCCACGGAAAGCATTAGTCTGACAGTACAATGTTTAGATTCTCCTTGATATTACCAACACATTTTTCCTCTTATCTTACACTGAAAACTTTTTCTGCAATTTTCTTTTTTTTTTTTTTTTTTTTTTTAATACTTTAAGTTCTAGGGTACATGTGCATAACGTGCAGGTTTTTTACATATGTATACTTGTGCCATGTCGGTGTGCTGCACCCATCAACTCGTCAGCACCCATCAACTCATCATTTACATCAGGTATAACTCCCACTGCAATCCTTCCCCCCTCCCCCCTCCCCGGGATAGGCCCCGGTGTGTGATGTTCCCCTTCCCGAGTCCAAGTGATCTCATTGTTCAGTTCCCACCTATGAGTGAGAACATGCGGTGTTTGGTTTTCTGTTCTTGTGATAGTTTGCTGAGAATGGTGGTTTCCAGCTGCATCCATGTCCCTACAAAGGACACAAACTCATCCTTTTTTATGGCTGCATAGTATTCCATGGTGTATATGTGCCACATTTTCTTAATCCAGTCTGTCACTGATGGACATTTGGGTTGATTCCAAGTCTTTGCTATTGTGAATAGTGCCACAATAAACATACGTGTGCATGTGTCTTTATAGCAGCATGATTTATAATCCTTTGGGTATATACCCAGTAATGGGATGGCTGGGTCACATGGTATTTCTAGTTCTAGATCCTTGAGGAATCGCCATACTGTTTTCCATAATGGTTGAACTAGTTTACAATCCCACCAACAGTGTAAAAGTGTTCCTATTTCTCCATATCCTCTCCAGCACCTGTTGTTTCCTGACTTTTTAATGATTGCCATTCTAACTGGTGTGAGATGGTATCTCATTGTGGTTTTGATTTGCATTTCTCTGATGGCCAGTGATGACGAGCATTTTTTCATGTGTCTGTTGGCTGTATGAATGTCCTCTTTTGAGAAATGTCTATTCATATCCTTTGCCCACTTTTTGATGGGGTTATTTGTTTTTTTCTTGTAAATTTGTTTGAGTTCTTTGCAGGTTCTGGATATTAGCCCTTTGTCAGATGAGTAGATTGCAAAAATTTTCTCCCATTTTGTAGGTTGCCTGTTCACTCTGATGGTAGTTTCTTTTGCTGTGCAGAAGCTCTTTAGTTTAATTAGATCCCATTTGTCAATTTTGGCTTTTGTTGCCATTGCTTTTGGTGTTTTAGACATGAAGTCCTTGCCCATGCCTATGTCCGAAACTTCAGCAAAGTCTCAGGATACAAAATTAATGTGCAAACATCACAAGCATTCTTATACACCAGTAACAGACAAACAGAGAGCCAAATCATGAATGAACTTCCATTCACAATTGCTTCAAAGAGAATAAAATACCTAGGAATCCAACTTACAAGGGATGTAAAGGACCTCTTCAAGGAGAACTACAAACCACTGCTCAGTGAAATAAAAGAGGACACAAACAAATGGAAGAACATACCATGCTCATGGATAGGAAGAATCAATATCGTGAAAATGGCCATACTGCCCAAGGTAATTTATAGATTCAATGCCATCCCCATCAAGCTACCAATGAGTTTCTTCACAGAATTGGAAAAAACTACTTTAAAGTTCATATGGAACCAAAAAAGAGCCCACATCTCCAAGACAATCCTAAGTCAAAAGAACAAAGCTGGAGGCATCACACTACCTGACTTCAAACTATACTACAAGGCTACAGTAACCAAAACAGCATGGTACTTGTACCAAAACAGAGATATAGACCAATGGAACAGAACAGGGTCCTCAGAAATAATACCACACATCTACAGCCATCTGATCTTTGATAAACCTGAGAAAGCAAGAAATGGGGAAAGGATTCCCTATTTAATAAATGGTGCTGGGATAATTGGCTAGCCATAAGTAGAAAGCTGAAACTGGATCCTTTCCTTACTCCTTATATGAAAATTAATTCAAGATGGATTAGAGACTTAAATGTTAGACCTAATACCATAAAAACCCTAGAAGAAAACCTAGGTAATACTATTCAGGACATAGGCATGGACAAGGATTTCATTTCTGCAATTTTCAATGTGATAAAAGGAATTCCTGTCCACAACCCTAAACTCATATTTATACATGTTTCCTACCTGATGGTATCAAAAAGGAAGTTTCCTTATTAATCGCTCAGACTATGTTCCCCTGAAACCATATTCCCTTCTATGACTGGAGGCATTACTGAAGTTAGGAGCTCGATTCTGAATAAGTGAGTTCTGTTATCTCTACATTCCATTGAATTATCAGATATGAAGCAAAATAATGTCATTAGAGACAGACTCTCTCTTCATAAAAACACTCTCACAAATTGGTTTTATGAAAAGGCTAAATCTTACAATAGCACTCAGTCTATAGTCTAACATCACACCAATGCACAATTCCTGAAAGCATTTTCTAGAGATCCTGCAGGTGCTTAGGTCACAGGCATTGCAGAACTACCTACTACCACTACCTTGCATTCCTGCAGAAGAAGCCCTTGCCTCCAGGCAAACCCAGTTCAGCTTCTAGAAATCCCAGCATACAGAGGGAAGAATGTGCAAGTGCTAGAATGGGAAGAACACTGGACCTGGTTTCAGGGATTTGGGATTCTCAAGCTGACTGCATGGCCAACATGGGTCGCATGCTTATTCCAGGCAAACCAAGCAGAAGTGAGGTTATGGGATTGCCCCAGTCTGAAACTGTGCCATTTGTGCATTTGTGCTCAGGTATCTCTTTTCAGAACATGTGGGTAAAGTGTGACTTTACCATAACCGTGGACTGAAGATAACTAGTGTTGAGATCCAGGTTGCCTGAGAAATTTATGTCACTACACAGTGACTATAATCTCAGTAAGCGTGTGTTCTTCCCACCTATGTGGAAGAGACCTAGAATCCAAAGAGACTGCTCTGATGCTTGTTCTGTATGAAAGTGTGGTATCAGTTGGGCACAATTAGTGTCAATGTTATCATTGCTGGCTATAGACATAGATGACATTTGTTTGCTGTTATCTAGCAGTTACAGCAGAGCATAGAAGAAGAAATCTCAATGCTCATGCCCATCATATTGGTTCAATTATTCTGGAGCTTTGCAGGATGCAAACACAGGGAAGGAGAGCAGAGACAGAGTAGATCTCATTCCTGAGTGTGTGTGTAGAAGTGAGTGGATCATGGAAGGCTTCATGTAATAGGTAGAATTTTAACTGATGACTACAATTGATCTAGCATTATTATTATAATTATACCCTCTGTAAATTTTGCCAGTCACTTAAATTTTTATATTGGGCAAGGAGAGGTAAATAGGATCTGGACAGATGGAAATGGGAGAAGAGATAATTTACAGTGGCACTGTTAATAAAAGCATAGAGTTTTTTAGGGAATGGTGAATAATTCACACCAGAGTTTTATTCCTTGTGTCACCCCACATATTTGGTCATGATGGCAAGATCCCTCTTAAATAGAATCACAAGACTGGAGTGCTCTGAATAATGAGCATTATCTTTTGTGGTCTTGAAGTGATAGAGCTTGATGTTAGTTTTATGATATTTGTAGGAATGAACTCTATAATAACGTAAAGTCCAGAGAGGGCCAGGCAAGTCAGACCAACAGGACATGCCACAAAGTCAATGCCTTGCTCTCCTTACCCTCCTCACTGGGATACGTCCAGTCCTCCAGGGCCAGAAGGCACAGATAAAACAATTAAAAAATTAAAATAATAATAATAAAACAGGTGGGGGTTAGGGGAGAAGAGAGAAGCAATGGAATGCAGTCCCTTCTCTGGAGCAGCATTTTTACCTACAAAACGCCCATACTGGGAGTAGGGGAGATAGTTAATCTTTGAATTAAATTCAACATTTTATTTGTCACATAAAAATTCAAATCCAAACTCTGCATAGCCTTGATATGGATGTCCAAAAATTCCTATTCAAATTCTGTGTCACCATGCAACTCTTTTGTAACGTAATATTTATAGTGACTTGAAATTTAGTTTAATATTCCTGTTTTAATGCTGCTACACATGTGACAGAATAATACATACCAAACTCAGACGTTCTGAAGTTGAAGACAGTTGTCGTTCCCATTCCAGGTGTGCAGGCACCCTTGCCTTCTTATCAAAGATATGTGTAATTATTGGTGAGAGTAAAGATGTAAGATTCAGCCTTAAATTATATCTGTAAAATGTATGTATTTATTTTTAAGAGTTATTAGAAACAAATATGATAAAAATTTAATATGTGCTTAATTTTGTGTTGGGTGTATGAATGCTAATTATATTACCTTCTAGCCTATGTGCCTGGTTTACAAACTTCCTTCCAGCATACCCCATGTCCTCATTCTTGGTAACTTCAACATCCATAAAGGTAGTCCATACAAGGAGGAGGCATTTCAGTTGTTTTTAAGTTTTCATTCTGAATTAACTGTAGACTATGAAGAAGTTACTAAAATGGTACAGAGAGTTCCTGGATGCCCATCACCCAACCTATAGCAATACTGACATGTTAAGTAAATGTAGCACCAAAACCAGGAAATTGACATTGGTACTATCTAATTATCTACATTACAAATCTTATGAGATTTCACCAAATATCTACAGTACATTGTTACCAAATTTTACCAGTGTTTGCATGCACTCATTTTTGGAGTGATGTATTCCTCTATGTTTCATTGCATAATATTTTGTCACATGTGTAGATTCATAAACACAATCACATTGAATATAGAAGTGTTTCTTCACCACAGAAGAATTTCCTTGGGCTCCTGCTACTGTCACACCCACAGTTTGTTTCTTCCCAAACCCCTCTAATCATTGTCATTTCAAAAGTGTTACTAAATGGAATCATACTGC